GTATGCTAATTCTGACAACGTTTATATATATCGACAATATAACAAGAGGATTAATTACAAGATCAGAAAAGCAGAATAAACTTACATAAATTATAAAATCTAGATGATTTAAGACAAAAAATAGCCTGGTTTGCGTTATTTTACTGGGAAATATGTTGCAGCAAAAGGTCCAGCACAGAACTCGAGTACCTCTTGACCTCGATTTGTTGACTGTAATTTCTTATAATGCAATAATATTTTGAAGATATTGGTATGTACTTAAACTATTAAAGCGTTTTCCAAATGCACCGCCCAATAGAACTAGCATACGGTTCAAAATTAATACACGAATCGCTATTATCGACTTTGATCTATGGCAAAATTACACCCACCGACGAGTTCTCACTTCTATGTCATCAACGGGGCATACTAATTTCAATGCGAATTCGGCAGGGTTGACTTCTAAAACTTGAGTCTCGCAAACGAAGTCAACGTTTTGCAAACGGTGAACGCCAAAAATCATAAAAAGTCATATAGAAGCAAATTTGCTTCAAAAATATTTCTCATGCTTAATAAATATATTTAAAGTTGTTAAATTCGCGATGTTTTGATCCCTCTTGGGTTTTCTCCGACTGTTGCCCGGCGAAACCTCTTCAAATGTTTTTGCGGCCCAACCTCGCAAACTTGGACCACCCTTATATAATGTATTCAAAATCTGATGATGAAATAAGCCAACCTCTAGTAACGTATAATATGTCGGTATCAAATCTTCTTTAGTACATTTCAAATACTTCCCCAGAGCGATATCTTGCGTGTAATGTTCTTCGATCAAAGCTCGAACTGAGCAAAATTTGCCGCAGTCAATAACTTTGTATGTTATATCATTTAATAATGTCATACCTTAGTTAAATTGTATTGTAAAACAATTGTTCTGTTACCTTAAAACAAACATTTGTTATAACATTCGATTTCTTTGAATAACATACATATTGAATCATGGCTATCTGACATATGTTGCGAACTCAGTGCTCAGATACATTTCCACGTGGGTTGTATAGAATAACGGTACTAGTTCTTGGACCTTTGTTTCCATATATTCGATCATTGCTTTCGCGAACACGCTCACACGCATAAACTGCTCTTCATTATATAACACATACTTTTTGAACTTGAGGCTGAGCCATCTATCTCAATACTCAATACAAAAATTACGATGAGAACTGCCAAGTAACTGTATTGAATGATTGAATATTGTTGTGAGCTGTTTTGACCATGAATTCCGTTTCACATGGCTGATTTTTCATAAAATGTACAGCATTTACCCAAATACAAAATTAAGGAACAAAATAATGTTGTGTACTTTTTTCCCTGACTGAAACGCAGTTATTACTCTGGAGGTTTGTCCTTATGACAAGCATTAACCCATACTGAAACGTACTTAATGTTTTACATATTGTTTTTAAAACTTTGGGAACCGCTGGTCCCAATGATATAAATTAGATACTTACCGTAGATGCAATTATCTCAATCTGTCTACCTCGAATAATTTTATAACATTAAATACTCTTAATTGAACTCTTCAGTTCAAAATTCATAGTTCACACAAACAAACAAAAACGTAAAATTGAAGTTTAATATAAATTATATATTTCCTAAATCGAAAACATTCGTTTTATCAAACAGTTGAAATAGTTTGCGCAAATTCACAATGTTATTATAGGATGAATATTTATTGAAAAAAATTGACTTTAGTGATCAGCAACTTGCTCTTACATGGTATATTGAAGTCACCGCATGGCAGTTATCCTCTTCAAATCTATCTATACATTTCGTGAGTTCTTGCTAAAAACTGACTTACATCTTATAACCGCTAGTTTGATTTAAATACCTTACCGTTTATCATTTTGAAACACAGATATGTATGTACTTTTGTCAATCGCATTTTTTCGGGACTAACTAAAATAAAACTCGACCGGATGAAATGACCATTGAGTTTTGATCTGAATTTCTGAACGTAATTAAAATTCTATAAACTGCTCTCAAAACTATGAATACGAACCGAGCCAATACTTACAACCATGCTCAAAGAAGTCTCACACAACATAACAGACACAACATAAAAACAATGCAAAGCAAGTACAGGCGACAGAGGAGACCACTCGGTGCCAATATCGATCAGCGCTGATACAATTGATAGACAAGTCACGATCTGTCTACTGTAATGATGACCTCACTGATTATTCCCAGACATCTTTTGCAACTTCCTTTTCACGAGTTACATCAACCTTGAACTCGACAATTTGACCACGTTCAGGAATTCTCGCTGCAGCAGCTGGAACCGAGAGATCAATAAGCGCCAATGTGTTTGGAGTGACATTAGAAATGTTTGTTTTGTATTGCACTGTTTATCTATTCTTGGCAATATTCTGGCCCGCGAACAAAAAATTATAGTGTTGCCCGCGATGCCGACAACCTTGGACTACCCCGACCCAGGGTCAGTTGTCTACCTGATTATAAGGACCCCGATCCAATCGGGTTTTAATGCTCAATGTGGAATGTTTCAACAACTGTAACTGATGACCTCACTGATTATTCTCAGACATCTTTTGCAGCTTTCTTTTCACCAGTTATCGTTTTACCTTTCGCTACAGCAAGTGAATCCGAAACTTCATCGCTTTATTCTGATGATTCGCTTCTTCTATAAGTTTGTTTAGAACTATGCTCGTAATCACCTCTTCAGTTTATCAGTTATCTGCTCATCATACTGTTCATTAGTCTGTACCAGCGTTTCCCAAACTGTGTTCCGCGAACATCTTCGAATTGTTCCGTGGAAAAGAAATCAAAAATACGTCTAAACTGGTCGACATGGAGATCTATGGAACGTGAAGTTGTCGCCCAACTGACCGTTCAATATTGCGTCTGCAGCTCACGAAATTACAGCAGGTACTTCTATCTCCATTAGACGTAACATTAGAGGTAAACACTACGTAATGGAAAGTAAACGACATAGAAAGGTAACATAAATTCATTGACTCATATACACAGCATTTAAATTAAGAAACAATAAAACATTAATAATAAATGCAATATGTAAAATATTCAACCATATTTTATGTATGTTTAACACAATTCTGTTAGTTTTCGCGGTGCCTTCGGGAATTCGCCACGGCGAATTCATTGGGAACAGCTAACATTACACCGTTCTTCTTTATTAATTTTATCCTTTCATTTTTTGGTGTTCCGCGAGGCGAGATAAAAAGTGTGTTTCGTGGCCGAAAAAATTTGGGAAACGCTGGTCTGTACTACTAGTTCACCATGCCAACAATATACCAATCCATCAGCACCAATAACTTTTGCTGCAGCTCTTCATTTTCTCGAATAGGCTATTCTCGGTTTTGATAAACTATGTCACCATTATCACTTTCTCGCCAATTACCAAATTTCTCCACTATCTTGCATTGGAGCATTTCTATTTTAGATTGATCCAGTTTTACAAATAATCAGCAAGCCAAATTTTTCCAATCAATTTTTTCCCAAGGGTGAGTTGACTCACAAATAGCACCTTCACAAATTCATCTTTTTTCTCCGTGGATTAGTGCCTCGTCTGCGGTGTCTCCAAAATGTCGTGTGTGGGACACGTGGTACAAGTGAGACACGTGGTACAAGTGGGGTATGTGGGACACGTGGAACAAGTGGGACAGGACATTTTGGAGCCACCCACTCGTCTGTCACGGCGGTTACGGAATCCAAAAACATATTTTAAAAAAATGCCATATTTTCTACAGAAGATGTTGATTCTCTTTCATCAAATACTCTTTTCAATGCTTAACTCATGAACTTATATTCTATGACATGGATAAATAGCATAAATCGGTAGTTATCAACCTTCTAGTATAATGGACCCCCCAATAAATTGATTATGTTTTAAGGGTAACCAAAAAACAGAACCCATAAAATTTCTTAATTACTTACTTCTACAAAAATTAAATTGAACTCCTTTTTGTACCCGAAAGTTTTGGAGAAATCTAGAACGCTTTGTAAAAAAAGTTTTGTTTTCTCTATTATATGTTCCAACTAACCTTCTAAACATTGGAGACCAACTTGCATCAGTTGCGCAGATCACTCACGTAATTTTCTGCTGAAGCGCACTTTTTTGCGGTCATGTCAACAATAAAAACAAGGATTAATGCAGCCCATCATCTCCGAAGAAAGTATTACAGAGACCTTGACTCAGTATCGTACACGGCATGGGTAGCCATGAAAAAGCTCAAACTAAAAGTTACGTGGCGGTGCTGAAGAAGTTCTGGACATCTATTAAACGATGTAGAAGGATTGATCGAAGTGGCCAGAGGTTCCAGCAAGTCGAGACGAACCTCTAAACATCAAAATATACCCTAGACTAGCTGAGAGGGCGATTTCAGAAAAAGATGATTAGCAGTGATGTTGCTTGCGTGTGCAACATTTTCAATGTACTTGAAACTCCCAGATTTTTTTCTGTGGGGGAATTCGAAGGACAATGTGTGTATCAAAAAAGTTCTCAAACAATTGGTGAGCTCAAGGCTGCAAATGAAGAAAAATCAAGGATTGCTTGCAACAAGAGATCTAGGCTCAAATATGTGGACTCGGAGGCAAAACTAAATCATCAATTCCCCGGAAACCATATGCGATAACTTACGGAAGACGAACAACTCGACTGCACCACATGGACAACTCGACTAAACGGACAAATCTTCGAGTTAACTCGACTACCCAGGGTACCTGTGACGTACAGGTTCTGTCGTAGCTTTCCCAAGTTCTGTGACGCGGATCCATTCTTCATGATTCAGTTCAAATAATAACTGTTCCGAGTCGGCGATGTAGCGCAGCGCACAAGACTCGCCGATATGCGTGCGCGGAGTAGCCACAAGGTGGCAAATTTTTATGACGTCATATCGCACGAAAAATAAATCTTATAAAGCCCAAAAAATATTTGAAATAAATAAAAGTAATAGCCTTCTAGCAAAAAAATCAATCTCCGAGCACTGAAAATTTCAAAGCAATCAATTTTTCACAACGATAAGAAGTCACGCAAAAACAAGAACAACAGCAACAACATATTAATGGTCCATAGGTCCGGTTCGAATCTCGTGGGTAATAATAATGTGCGAGAGAATTCTTGGACTCCTCGTCGTCGTAAGGGTTGTTTACGTAACCGCTGGTTAGTTCCTCCACAATCAGGTCCACGCATCTGAATACGAAATAAGCCTACCTGATCCAACACCGGACATGGACTGATAACCGGACGACAAGCAGTCGTTCACAACATGATCAAGGTTTTCTTCTCCTCCGGTACGAGTATGAAAATCCTAACTGTTCAAAGATGTAACAATATGCGTCGCACGCTCCCACAGAAGATAACGGATAATCGAGGCCGATTCTATTTCAACGCCATAGCAACACGTGACAAATCACAGAAAATCGTTTGGCTGAGGCAGAAAAAGGACCAATATTGGAAATTATTCTAAAATAAGCTAAATAAGAAAATCGAATTCTTTGAAATTCAAATATTCGGTTGTTTTGGACAATCCTGGTTCATGCATCTACATTTTTTAAAGATTGAGATATTTATATTTTCAACACCATGCTTGTCATCCGTAATTTCTCTTTATATACTCCAGCATACTTTTTTGACAATAATGACTTGTAAGTGGTATGGCGGCTTCATTCCTAAAAACTCTTTCTTTCCCGTGACTGAATCAACGTATTCTCTCAAATCTAATTGTTTAATAATTTCAAAGCCATCCATTTTTTCCGGAGACTTCAAGCTTTGGTCGTATGTTTGAAACATCACCAGTTTTTCTGTTCCCCTTTGTTTCGCCAAGATATTAGACCTATAAAATGAATCTCCAATTGATTCGAATATGAAGCAAAATCTATTGAAATAAATTTTTCTAGGCACGAAACAATGTTATTTTAACAAAATATATATTACATCAACAAGCAAAATTTTTTAGGAGAATGATATTAATTTTTTTTATTTGTTTCCTGGAATGCCATAATCAACAGGAAATTTGGTTGAAGTGGTTATTGGTATGATAACTCCTTGACTTTCGTTATTTTAGTTGACACTATGTACAACAATGGCAGTGATGGAGGATTAAATAATAAAAAATGTGAATGAGAGTGACACTAAATTTATGTATTTGAATGACAACTTTCTATGAATTATTATTATACACGACGTCGTCTTTGGTCGACCTCATAAGAACCACGTTAGGTCGACGTTACCAAATTAGGTCCTGTAGCTAATTCAGTTATTGTTCCAAATGAACAGTCTTGTTATAAGTTGGCCTTTTTGTCGTCACTAAAGTGTGTTGAGAGTGTCCATCAGCTCTTTAAGCATCGATTCAGATCTTTCAGCATGTGCTAGCAACGTAGTCACAACAATGTTTTTATTAATTTTAACAGAAACTCACCACCATGCTTCTGGATATTCATACCTTTTAACAAGTTCAGTCATCAAACCTCTTTCTCTGTATTTCGGATGCACAGTTACCATTTTTATTTCCCAGTAGCGGTCAGTTCCAAGAATATTTGGCATGTCACTACCGCTAATCGATGCCATGAGCTAATCGAAACAGACGAGAGAATGTACACAATTGCCTTCAGTTATAACGATATATAAATTATCCTAACTGTTATGGAAAAGAGGTTTTTCTCGACAATTATGCGGAGAATTACCATTTTTCAAAACCGCTCAGATCAAGTCAAGTATATCCTGGTCTGCAATTACGTTCAATTGGATACTTCATCAATAGGTATATCGTTGTCATATTCGAATTCGTATTTTTAAAGGTAACGATTGACTTACTTGGTTGAAAAAAACTGCAGTGTAATGAAACTTCCCCAGCAAATATATAGCATGACGAAAGAAACTCATTCATAATTCTAATTTAGTCGTATCCATAAACTTTAAGACAAAAGGAGAGATTCTTGTTGATTTTTGTTTTAAAAACATATTTCGTGACTTTTATTGAATTCATATTTGATTTTTTGTGTATTTTTAGACTTTGTGATATATCTTACCCGGTACATAGCTGCATACTTTTCGTTTAAATGAAACGTTTTCAAGTATTTCATCTCATCAGTACGGTTAGGTTTTACGTTAATAGCTACTCCACACAACTCATCAACTTTACCACGAAAAGCTCCGATTGAATTTCCTCGACTTAAAAAGGACTGGAATTAAATATTTGAATATATCAATTATTACTAAGACTAGCTCCACGTGTAAAACAAAAACAATTTATACATGTAAAGAATACTGAATCGCTTGGGCAATATTTGTACAATATTTTAGCACCACAGTAATTTTCATACCTAACTAAAAATTGGGTTTCTACACAACAGGGATATCGACTGTAACAACTTCTGCAATATGATTTACATAACTTTGACTCAATCTGAGAGGATGTCTATTGAATTAAACTACCAGTCTACAATTAATAATAGAACAAAGAAGTCAATCGACTTGTCATATTTTCTTATATATATATATATTATATCTATTCCAAATCTGATGTTGAATTAGCCAACCTCTAGTAGAGTATAATAAGTCGGTATCAAATCTTCTTTGGTACATTTCAAATACTTTCCAAGCGCGATATCTGGCGTGTAATGTTCTTCGATCAAAGCTCGAACTGAGCACAAATTGTCGCAGTTAATAACTTTGTATGTTATATCATTTAATAATGTCATAACTTAGTTAAATTGTGTTATAAAACAATTGTTCTGTTACCTTGAAACAAACACTTGTTATAACATTTGATTTTTTTTGATAACATAAATATTTAATCATGACTTTTTAAAATATTCAAAGGGTAATCAAAAAATAGAACTAACGGTTGGGGTTACGTGGGACTGACTTCATTCCCTTGCTCTATATCAGAGGTCGGGAACCCATGGCTCGCGAGCCATATATGGCTCTTTTGGTGACGGCATATGGCTCCCAGAAAAATCTATTATTCTAAGATTAAGCTTACTATTGTTACTAGACTTCAAACTATTTAATTTTATGGCCTAAATTTGGCAAAAAATTCCCAATACGTTTGACAACGCGGGCCCAGCGCATGTCTATGTTATGTAAGAGAATTACCAGACAGGCATTGTGACAAAACATGGGGATTCTGGAACATATATTGTGACATCACAAAGCGATAGAGTATTAAAATACTACGGAGATGCCTAAACGAAAAAGGGTGATGAGTATCGTAGATTTCAACTTGGGCTGCATGTGAGCTACCGTTCAAGGCCCGCAGCGACAACATGCAGCATCAGAAGTCACATTAAATGTATATTGACATGGAATGTGTTGACTTTTGAGTAAACGTTTCAGGCCTGATTAAGTGAAGAAATGTTATATGGCTCGCACGAAAATACAATTTGAAATATGTATATTTTAGGGCTCTCTTGACCAAAAAGGTTCCCGACCCCTGCTCTATATAATTCTGTGCTGGTGGATCCGTATGCGCATAACGCAAGGATGTTTTGGCAAGTGTGAAAATGACTATTCTATGCAATTCAAGGGTCTTACTAGCAATGTTCCCTCTAATTTTTCGTAGTATGTGTGCGCAGAAATTTTGGTGTGTGCGCACTTTTTTGGAAATGACTAATATTTGTGCAAAAACCAATGAAGAAATTTTGGCGTTCTAATGGGGTAATAAGTGGGCCAACAACAAACTTTCGCAACCTGCCAACTGAGCACATTGTTACATTACATCGAAATACGTCTGTGCGCAGTAAATCTATGCGTGTGCACAGCCTCTGAAAGCTGTGTGCGCGCGCACACGCGCACACCTTAGAGGGAACACTGCTTACTAGGACGCTCTGTAAAAAGGTGCTGAATTGTTGTCTAAAAATCTATAAACGTATAAACTTCGGAATTCGCTTCATAAGTTGCCAAGCAAGGAATGTTCTTCTCTCACTACTCTCAAGAAATAATATTTTGAACACTCAAACGCCTAATTACATTTATATTTTTCAGCTCATTTGTTCTGTATATGCCTACCTTGACTCTGAACGCTGTGCCTATGACTCCTTTACCAATGGAGTAGATTATCAATTCAATATACATTGTATACTTTGTATCATTCATAAGTATCATTCACATGTACATTGTATACAACGTTGCTAAGTAGACAACTTTACAGCTCAATAAATAAATAAAAAACTATAAATATTCATTTGCATCCCTTGGGTAATAATAGATCCATGCATGGCTCTTATCAAAACATTTCTATACTTTTTGAAATAGGAGCTTTCGGAGCTCTTCCCATCCAAAAAATAAGATATGAACATTTTATTTTTGTGACAAATTCAAACACGCGACCCTTTGGTTAACCGTGGCTGTAATCGTAGCCTTTTCTGACGAATATTGAAGATTGCTTGTGCATCTGTACAAAAGCAATTAATCGGGAATTCGACATGTCCTTTGATATATAAATATGATTTGTATAAGCTGATTTACTCTCGCTTGTAACAAACTATCTCATAAAATTTTTCGCTCATTACTAAACTTGAAAAATTCTCTATTATCTTTCATGGAATCGTTATATTTTAGATTGATCAAATTTTCAAATAATCACCAGGTCATAGTTTTCCTTGTCTGCAATTTTTTAGACATTGTAAATCGTAAACTTTTGTGTGTTTTTGGCACACACATTGGAAAATTTTGAAATATTTTTAATGGTCCTTGAAGTTGAAACAGTCAATCATTTTCGCAATGTACCTACTTATCTATATTCTTAAATTACCGTTAGACCGCATCCGATTTTTTCCAGAATTATGATAAATATAAGCTGACCAATATTAAGTATATTCAATCAATTTATCATTATACTATAATAGGAAGTATACTTTGGAATTCTTTAGCTAACCTAAGTATTTTAAAAGGCGATGAAGACTTTGCAAGCTTGCAAAAATACGATTCAAAAAATAATTGTAATCGTAGAGTTTATCACACATTTCATGTCCGCAGATTTCCGTGGTATTTGGTATCCTGAAACAAACAGTTGCTATGACATTTGGTTTCTTTGAATACCATAAATATTGAATCATGAGTATTTGAAATATGTTGCGAACTCAGTGCTTAGTTACATTTCCGCGCGAGTTGCATTGGCTACCGGTATCAGTTCTTGAACCTTTGTGTCTATATATTTGTTCATTGCTCTCGCTAACACGCATAACATGCTACAACACATACTTCCAAATTTTTGGCTGAGCCAACTAACTCAATACTCCAAAAATTACGATAAGAACTGCCAAGCAACAGTATTGAATTATTGGATACTGTTTTGAACATAAATACCGTTTCACATGGTTGATTTTCCACAAAATGTACAGCATTTACTCGAATACAAAACATATTAACAAAATAATGTCGTGTACTTATTTACCAGACTGAAACGCAGTAATTAGGCGTAAAGTTTATCTGTATGTCAATCATCAACGTATATGGAAACGTAGTTAATATTTTACATAAATTGTATTTAAAAGTTTGAGAACCGCTGGTCTAAGGATATATATCACTTTTTTTCCTTAGATGCTATTATCTCAATCTGCCAACCTTGGAAAATATTGAAACATTGAATGATTGAACAATTCAGATGAATTCATATTTTAATGTTATATAGGGAAATAAAAACCGTAGGTTCAGAACTAAATTTTGTTTCAACGCCAAAATCTTCAATATACACCCCATCCGAATGAAAAATGGAATAACATATTTTGTGAAAGCGAAAACATTCGTTTTATCCAACAGTTGAAATATTTTGCATTTCAGAGTAATAATGCTTTTATTTTTTCTCAAGTACGAAAATACACATCAAAAATTAAATACAATCATGCAGTTTACCACACCTTCTATGTCCATAGTTTGCCGTGGTATTTAAAGTCGACTCAAATTTATGTTACGTTGAACAGGATTAAATTAATACGGCAAAGTATTTTAAATGCGGGTATCAGCCATGGATTGATTAGTAAGCGCAAAGAAAATCATCTTTTGGAAACGTCGATTCTTCTATTTATTCTTATCAAAATTATTTACCAAAAAGTATAAATTATTTTTTCATACTCTTCCGAATAAATCAACTTGTTTCGGACTTGCGACAAGTTAATAATTATGGTAACAAAGCGCGTGAACACAACTTATTTACGTTCTGCTATTGGTCGGATCAACGCGAGACGTGTGAACCGCCTCCATGTTTAATATTACTCCCCATTAATTTATCCAAACTTTTTCAGGAAATATGCTGAATTGTGTCTGCAACCAGGTTCGAATTCCGTGAGTAATAATAATGTGCAAGAGGATTCACGGACTCCGCTGGTCGGTTAGGGATTCATCTACCATTAAGTCCACGCATCTGAACCAAAATAACTGGCTAATTAATCCCGTACCCGACATGGACAGATAACCGGACGAGAGAGCGTCGTTTGTCATATGATTAGGGTTTTCTTCTCCTCCGGGTTAAATATGTAATTCCTAATCGTACAAAGATGTCGCAACAATATGCGTCGCGCTCTCACAGAAGATAACAAACAATAAAA